TTTTTTTTTTTTTTTTTTTTTTTTTTATTTGTTTTTGTTTCTGAACGAGCTGTTACATGTTTACTCGGCGCTTACGTATCGACTATTATTGATACCATCTTTCCTTCACTATTCTTTTCTTTCACTCCTGTAACATTGGGAATACTCTTTTTGTTTTTTACAAATCAATTTATCTCTTATAAGTTGTTTATTGATTGTAAAATAGGAAGAAAAAAAAAGGTTACAGGAGAAAGAAGAAAAAAATTTTCATTTTGAAGTTCTTATTGATACGTGTGTAACGTAACAGCAACATAGCAGTATTACCCGGCAGGAGGTAGTATCAGTGTTCCTAAGAACACATCGATAAGCCAACATTTTTTGATCAGAGCAAAACCAAAAACTGGTGAAAAAAAAATTTTTGAAATATGAAAATAATAAAGGAAAAAAACTTGAAGAACGGTTCTTACATAAAAAATTTCTAAAAAATACTTTTTATCTTAAAAAAGAAAAAAAAAAACAAATTACTAGGGGAAAATTTTCTTCTTCTCAGCTGTAAAAAAAAATGGACCAGGTTAATTGCGTTTTCGAAGATAAAAAAGAACATTTTTTTTCTGATAAAATCATGAACTTTTTTTTTGTTCACCATTTTGAGACATAAAAAAAAATTGTCAAGTATAGGTTAACAGATGGCGCAATTTTTTTCAACTTTAACTAATGCTCTTTAAACTGTTGCCTATTTTAAAAGAACAAAAAAAGAAAAAGCTACGGGTCGAGAAGAGATAACGAAAAATTATAAATAGATTTAAAGTTTACATATATACTCTAAGTAAAAAGGTGCAGAAAAGAAATGTGCACCTTTTAATTTTTTACTAGTTTCCAACCAGATTTTTTCTGCTGAATCTTTATATGGATAGAGTGGTAGTTCAAGCAAAACAGTTGAAGAAGGAGAAGAAGAAATTTGAGCATTTTTTCTTATGGCTCAACTATCTGTATCTTCCTGGTTACCGGTAGCATAATTAGCATCAGCTGGAGACCGAGGACAAAAATTTTGTTGTTGTCACTGGGCGGTTATAGCCGGTCAAATAAGTGTCATTCAATTCAGGTAGTCGGCAGTATATCCGCCTCATCCCAGTAGTATCACCTGTGACAAACAGAAGACAAATTTTTTTTGGCACTCTTAGGCTACTGGTTCCTTGATTTTTTTTTTTTAAGAAAACTGGAACTTTTTTTCTTGTCGTCCATAGAAATATAATATTTTTAAAATACTGGCAATCTTTTTATACGTATAACTGTCTCATTTTTATAGTACTCATTAGCGGAACGTCTTATGGTATAGTAACGTAAAGGGTAAATGAAAAAAAAAAAGAGAGAAAACCACATTTAATAGAAAAAAGTTTTATATTTCAAAAATGTGTTTAAAATTTGTCAAAGGAACTACAAAAATAGTTATATTAGTGTTTTTTTTGTGGCTTACCTTAAGCTTCTTTTTTAAACTTCATCTTTCTTTCTATTCTTTGTCCATGATCATCATCTGCAGTATCTAGCTATTCTAACTGTTTCAGTTACTAGGATTAACCCTTGTCTCTAAACCAACGAAAAAAAAATGTATTAATATTAAATCAAAAGAATTTCTTTTTTTTTTCTCTTCTTCGTCTACTATACTTCTCGCTATTAGCTTATTCATGCTCCAGATAACTGCTTTTTCTAATGTTGTCTTCCCAGCAACCGTTTCGTTTCTACAGCAGATGGCAACCTGTTTAGTTCCTTTCTTTTTTTGGCTTTCAATTTCTTAGGTTTTTTATTGGTTGCTTCAAAAAATGGAGTTGTAAGGAATAGAATATATTTGTAAGCATGCAGTAAAAAAGGTGAAACAGTTTAGTTTTGAGAGCGAAACTGAAGCTTATTGCTTCAAATAATTGGGTTTATGATTTCAGAGAACATTAAGTAGTCATGAACGCCACTAAAATTTTTCTTTCAGTTATTGACAATATTTTTAAACTTCTTTTGAACTGAATTTTGTTCGTTGTTGAACAGTTGAACAGTCTTAACAATTTTTTTTTGCTTTTTAAGGAGTATATGAAGAGGCGCTAAATTTTTGAAGAATTTGACTCAACTTTACTGAAAAATAAAGTAATTCGTTTTAGAGGTTTCTACCGTTGTTGTTACTGAGCGTACTGCAGTCCACCAAGAAAAACATTTAAAAAATACAAGCAATTTTACTTGCTTTCTGGTTTTTTTAGTAGGTAGTTTTGCCAAATATTGAATTTGAAAAAGCAGCTTAAATTCAGTTTCTCATGTTATTTTTTTTGTTATAGAAGAAGATGCCTAGTGTTGCCGAAAGTGACTTTTTTGGCTCAAAAAGGAAGCCTTTAGATACAAAAGCCTCCAAAAGTAGTCCTTTGAAACATAACACCACCGAAAGTGTAGTAGACAAATAGCGTCATGTGTTATTATCTGAAACCTTAATCACCGATCTAATGTTTGAAGTGATGAATGACAAAATGCTGTAATCATTTCCAGATTTTGTGGTTTTTTAGGGCACTGATCTAAGGCCGTTTTTTCTACATAACTATTTGTTTGAAAGATTCTTTGTGTAACTTTTTTAATGAAATTACTTACTGCGTTACACAAAGTTATTCTCTATATCAAAAAATTGACACTAATAATTGATTGAAATTTGCTTCTCTGCATCTATTCAGTTCAATTATCTGACTCGTTACCTTTCCAAAAACCGATGGTTTTGTTGTCACCAAAATATTAAAACCTGTTGAGTTTGTCGGCGCCTATACTGTCAGCATCATCAGAAGTAGTAATACTATGATATTTTTATTTTTGGTTTTAGCTGTCATTAATTGAGGGGACACTTGCCTGGGTAAGGGTCAAGTTTAAAGAGCAGTAAGAACACTAAGAAAGTGGAAAAAAAAATTAATTACAACTGTACACTGTTTTTAGTCCGGGAAAAAGTTTGAAAACAGAAGCTTATATGACTATAAAAAGTGAAGAATCTTTGCTTTTGTTAGATTAGGATTTTTTTTTTTGCTTCTTAAGTGTTTAAGTTTACCGGAGGACAAATCTGCCCAATTTGTCTAATCGTATAATTTTTGCAATTACATTTATATACTTTTTTTGTTTCAGGAAACATTGCATGTTTGACGATATTTCTTCAAAATATTAAATTTCTGCTTAATAGGTGTTTAAGAGTCAGAATAACAGTCTTATTTTTATTTAGAAGTAAACAAAGTTTTTTAAAATGTTTATATTTGTCTTTCACTCACTGAAAATGATGTTTTCTATGATTATTTATTATTATTAACTAATGTTTAATTTATACTCGAAATCTTATAAATTATCCAGCTTTTAATTTGCTATAATTTCTGCACTTTCCCTGCACAAATTCCTGTTCAACGATTAGCGTTAGGAAATTCTGTAACGTCTGTTACGCTGCTGTTCGTCATCTGCTCAGAGCGGTTGATTTTACAGTAAAATTCCTCCTTCTTTTTTGCCACCACTTTTTAATTCCCAAATTAACATTATTCTTTTCCGCTTGCCTATCGGACATTCTTCCTAAAAATTCAACTTCTTAGGTGCTAAAAAAACGTTAAAAATATGGTTTTTTAATTTCCCAAAATCTAATAAATAGTAGAAAACTAAAATGTTTACAACAGAGGAGAACAAATTTTGTTGTAAGATTAGCAGTAGCTGATGCTGAAACATTTCAAAAAAGTTTGAAAAGTGAAAATTATTTTACGACTATAAATAACAGGTAAAAAATAAATTTTTTTTTGAGAAGGATTTGCAGCAACACTTTTGATATTAGCAGGTTTTCCTTCGTCATCTATATTATTTTACGGATTATCAAAGTTATTGAGAACGTTGTAGAAATTCGCTTATGATATTCGTCTATTGTTGTCACGCTTCATTTGTGTTAATTTAATTTCTTCTTATTTTCATACAAATGTTTACATTGAAAATTTTTTTTGTTAGAACAGGAAGGTAAGGGAAACAAATTTTTATTTACACGATTATTTTTTCTCTTCACTCTTTTTATGAGACATTTGCTATATTGGGAACTATTAAAACTTTTCTTATTGACCCGTATTCGCTGATCACAAGGATGCATTTGGCAACTGCTATCACTAAGACGGGTGAATTGTTCCAGAAAAAGTATTGAACTTTTATTTAAATTTAGGCCGTTCTAAAGTGATTTTTTTCCTTTTTTCTTATCATATTAGGTAATGAAAAATTAGTTATTTATATTTGCAGTAGAAAAAAAAAAAAAAGAAAAGATCGCATCGCTTTTGAAAAATTTTTTTAGTGCATCAGCAAAATGTTTATATGGTTGATCTATCAATTTATAAATCATTACAGAACATTTAGTAATCAGAACTGATTGCATACAAATATTAAAATTTTATTTTTTTTCTTTTTCTTCTAGACTTTAAAAACGGCTATTACTTATCTGTTAACTGCTTTACCAACTAGAAAGGCACTTGTTTTTTATCTTCTAATGTCTGTGTCTGCACTTGCCTCTTTCTGCTTCTGCAACAGCTACACCTCAACTCAGGCAGTGTGCCTAAACTTTTTCAACTAACCACTTTTTTCAATCTTTTGTTTTTCCGTTTAATTTGCACACATACTTTTGACTT